CTGTTCTGAATTAGAATGTGTTGAGTCTATTACATAAAAATTCTGTCAATGTTTGGAGCTGCGTGACCCAGTTTATAACCCTGTTACTTCTTCAGAGAATACCTTCTTGAAATTAACTAACCAATACTTATGCAAATTATTGTGCAAGGTAATCGTAACCTACCTATTCAAATAGGTAGACTAAACTAGAATATACATAGATAATTAATCATCGTGATAATAAGTGGTGAATATATTGGAGACACGGTCGTAAAAATATCTGACCCAAAACTTATAATATCTAAGAGTTAATGATTCTCATGTCCTGGTACATGTATGCAGATAAATCAGAAAATAAGGAAATTATATTTACCATTAGAGGGTGTTATACAAGTTAGAAAGAAATAGGCGAGATAGAATGGTAAGAGACACCCTCTCAGGCATGAAGGGCTAGTTAGAGACATATTGGAAGCAAAAACAGGAGTTTAAAGAGAAAGAAGTACACATAGATTTAACAAAATAATTTGAAGTGGTCTGTATTCTGTCGAAACTGCCAGACGCGGATCGCGATTTCGATCTTTTTGGATCTCATCAGCTCGTCGCAAGCAGCTCCGACAGAACACAGACCAACCTTTACCTGCTGTCTTAACAGCGCGTTTTCGAAAATACTACAAATGGCTACAGTTAAGACAGCAGGCAAAGGTTGGTCTGTGTTCTGTCGGAGCTGCTTGCGACGCGCTGATGAGATCCAAAAAGATCGAAATCGCGATCCGCGTCTGGCAGTTTCGACAGAATACAGACCACTTCGAATTATTTTGTTCGATTATGGTAACGTGCCTATCACGTTGAGGTGAGCTACGCCGGGATTCGTTTCAGCAAGTAGATATCCATATTTTTAAATGGACCTTGTTGGAGCATACGTAATCCTCAAATGTAGCATCGTACTACAGATGGCGCTCACCACGCCATTTGTGGTATTTTCTAAAACGCGCTGTTAAGACAGCAGGTAAAGGTTGGTCTGTGTTCTGTCGGAGCTGCCTGCGACGCGCTGATGAGATCCAAAAAGATCGAAATCGCGATCCGCGTCTGGCAGTTTCGACAGAATACAGACCACTTCGAATTATTTTGTTCGATTATGGTAACGTGCCTATCACGTTGAGGTGAGCTACGCCGGGATTAGTTTCAGTAAGTAGATATCCATATTTTTAAATGGACCTTGTTGGAGCATACGTAATCCTCAAATATAGCATCGTACTACAGATGGCGCTCACCACGCCATTTGTGGTATTTTCGAACACATAGATTTGATTACTTTTCACAAATAATAGTTAGGGATGAGGAATGTTGCCGTTTTAGGGAAATGCAAAGATTAGCTCAGGATAGGAAAGAGTGGAGGCGCGTGTCCATCCAGTCTTAGGACTGACGACCTTATGATGACGTGACTAGATGTAACCCGTTTAAATTTGGACTATTTGCACGTAGCATATGGTATTTAAAATGATTCCCATCATGGCTTAACCAATCTCTTATTGTGTGTCATTTAATCCTTAACATTTACTAATAATTTTATTATTATTATATATTTCAACATGTGCATGTATGTGAAACTAACTATGCATGCTAATTAATGGTTATTGTAACATATCATCGGAATGTAAGCAACCAAATATACACTTGAATGTAGACATATAGACCCGCCAATTTTTTCCGATATTTTTTTACCTACCAATTCGTATACGTTATTACTGGGACTTTAATTAAAGATCCTGATTAAATGGTAACATCCTGAATATCAAAAGTAGACCCAAGCAACCCTTTTATGGTTTATTTAAACGTTTTAATCGTAAATTAGCTCCAGAATGAAGGTACTATTGACTATCCTATTTCTAGAAGTTTTGATTTCAAATTAAGAAAGTTTTTTAACGTTTTAATTCGCAAATATTTTTTAAATCACTTAAGTCGACGGATCTTAGAAAACATTAATCCTTAAAAGGTTAAGGCGATCATCTTCATACCGTTTCATGCATTTTTTGTAGTTTTTCTTCAATATTCGACCGAAAAGTAAAATTTTGGACAGCTAATCAGTGATGGGCGCCTATTGAGTAATATCAATGCCGGCGCGAGGGGATGGTAGTATAGGTAGTGTATCGAAAAAGTGAATTTTCTACCATGTCGCAAAGAAGCGAATTTGTATGCTTATTTTGAGATGTAACTACTTGTAACTAATGTAATGTCGAAAGTGGATTAAACAATTTAGGATGACTAGTCACCAATTTAACTTTAGTTAATTAGTAGCATGGTAATTAATCAGATAATTGGGGAACGCAGAAATAACAGGGAAATATCACAGGGTGAGTGAAGACGGTGAACCGCCTCACCACCTTGCATCTTCGTGATCTTTCAATTCGTCTCTTGACTACTGACTCTCGACTGGACTTGATTCGACTATCTTTTTTATAATTATTGATTTCAATATTTAAACTGTTGCTAATTGATTTACTAACACTGTAGACAAGTAGGTGTTAGATTGCAGTTTTAAGTAAACAATTTAGATGTACCAATTTTGTAATAGTGGCCTAAATATGAATTTATGGATACTATGTAACAGTAATACTACCCACTCCGAAAATCCCGAATCAGTAATTACCCACGCGGAAATTTTACGGAAATTCTGTATTTCAGATTTATACACAACTAAAAATGCAAACAACGGAGGAGGGACGGGGAATGATCCATATCTCACTCGGTCTTAGCGTATTCAACCAGCCCTGGGCAATATGCAATAAGCAATAAGTCGTAGGTTTTATTAGCTTTCAGTGTATAAATTCAATTGAGAATTCCTGTTCCTTTAGTCTGTAGCTTAACTACTAGTATGAGCGTATCATAATTACAATAGATTAGTTAAGTAGCTTGCAATCTAGTCATAGACCCGAACGAATCAGTTCTAGCCACTTTTAACACGATCTACTTCCGTAGGTATGCCGTATTCTTGCGCGGTGCTTATCTACATTTTGCATCTATCTATGCATGTAGAAATATATTTATTTATCATTGATTGATAAATTATTATCAAAACTCCTTCGGCCATATTAATAGATTTAGAGCGTCGAAGTATGCAACATTTCGAGTGGTCAACATTTAGAAATATCATCAGTGGATTTCAGGTCAAGGATTGGTTGGACATCATAGATTTGGACAAATTATTGTCAAAATTTTTCGATCATTTGGAGAATTGAAATTTGAACCATTTCGAGTGTTCAACATTTCGAGATATTGTCATCATCATCATCATCATCATGAGATCTTTGGTCCAAAGAATGGTTGGACATCATAGATTTGGACATATTATTATCAAAACCTTTTTGGTCATTTTAGTAGACCTGGAGCGTTGAAATTTGAACCATTTTGAGTGGTAAACATTTGGAGGTATCATCATCGTAAGATCTTCAGTCCAAAGACTGGTTAGACATCATGGATTTGTACAAATTATTACCAAAACCTTTTTGGTCATTCTAATAGACTTGGAGCGATGAAATTTTAACTATTTCGAATGGTCAACATTTCGAGTATCTTCATCCTAAGATCTTCAGTCCAAAGACTGGTTGGACACCATGGATTTGGACAAATTACCAAAAGCTTTTTGGTGATTCTAATAGACTTGGAGCAATGAAATTTGAACTACTTCGAATGGTAAACATTTCGAGGTATCATTATCGTAAGATCTTTAGTCCAAAGACTGGTTGGACATCATAGATTTGGACAAATTATTATCAAAAGTGTTTTAGTCATCTTAATAGATTTGGAACGTTGAAATTTGAACTATTTCGAGTGGTCCACATTCGCAGGTATTATCATGATAAGGTTTTCAGTCCAAAGACTGGTTTGATATCATAGATATGGACAAGAAATTCAACTTCTTCAAATATTTGCCAAACGTCAAAGCTTAGTTAATTATTTTATATAGACTTGGCAATATTTTTCTTGATATTCTTAATTACGTTAACTTGTTGGTCACTTTTTTTACATGAATGTTTTCGGAGGAATTGAAAATTTTCTTCTTTTTAAAATTATCTTGTCTCATTAAATATTTTATTTCGTCAGTAATAATGCCAGTAATTAGTAGTATGCAAAGCATAATCCTTAATCTTCAGCTAATATAGTAACTCTTCCTTTCAAATCATCAATCATCTTCACACCTTTCTTTTTGATATTTTATTACCTAGTGCACCTACCATGTTCTCTATAGATACTAAATTCTGTCCATCGCTATAGCAAGGAATGATATGTATAAAGTCAGCAATTATTTTTACTTTTTTGGATAAAGGAATTTCTGAGAGATTGTAAAAGTCGATGTCTGTAGCATTACTACGTCCAGTGGTGTTGAAATCGCCGCTATAATTTCCTGCATCTAAACAATGTTCTGCAGAAATGTAAAGACTAGCTATGTAATGGCCTAATGTATTTATGTGACCAAACTATAAATTTAATTTGCTCTACCGAATGTTCAAAAATAGGAAAAAGAAAGGCACCCTTGTTATATGTAGATAGGTCTAATCAAAAAGGTTATAGGAAAAGTGGTTCAATATGCCAAAATAGGAGCGCCAAATTTTTCGGCTAAGCTATTAATTCGCTAATTGTGATCTTTTTGGGTCATTTAAAAAAAAATTATATGAATGTCGACGCGATTTTTTGCATGGTCTCACATTTGGTATTCGGAACAACTTTTTTAAACTTATTATAGTTTAGCTGCAATTAGCATACCTCGTACATTGTGGGAATGTTGGTTGTTTTGGTATTTGCCGCTACATTTTATTTTCTTCTTTACTGTGGCTAATTTTTGTCGTACACGTCAAAAAATATTTGGGACACTTCTAACTGTTCCAAATAAATCATTATAAATCTTTTAGAGAAGAAAATCTAGAAGAAATGTCATCTTACTCTAACCATAAAATAATAATGTAACGTAAAAAGTGCATAGTCTGTTTAATTACGGTTTTTCTACAAGTCGACAGTTGTAAACGTTCGCTAGGTGTAATAAAACGATACCGTTACGTCTCTCGGAGAAGACGCTTTATTCACGCCGTGTTCTCGGTATAGTTTAGCAATGATACGAGGTTCGGAAGCTGAAGAGTAGGCCATGCACGGAAGTGTATCTCTTCGTCGCGGTAGGCGTGCATTGGGGAGAATCCATGCATAAGCCGGACACGCGCCTTTCTACTCTCAGTATGGCGCGTACTTTGATCTAGATTGTGGGATTAAAAGACCGAAGTCCGAATTATTCTACAATTGGGCGACACGTATGAACGACTGGAATTTTTTCCGTGTTCGTGATTTATCTTTATGGTCATTGTTTTCGTACTGTTGCGAGGATGATTTGTATTCAACTGGTATTGAGCCGGTAACGTTCAAAGTTGATGGTTTGAATAATTGAATTGATTCTGTGATAACGAAAAGAAATTATTGAACTCTAAGACAAGACTGTATTGTTAAGTAAAGTGAAGATGGAGAAATTAGAAAGAGTTTTGCGACAAAGAAGAATGTTGCTGCCCAAAAGGTACCTACTTATCCATAGTATTCTCTTTTGAAAATAATTGTATGGTATTTTTTTTCTGGAAATTGAAATATAACATAAATAATGTTCCGGTTTGAGCTTTTTTTATTAAGAAAATGTTTATTTGACGTTTAATGGGTAAATGATGATTAATCATATTTTTTTACGCCAGAAATATTTTGTAAAGAAGAACAATATTTTGAAAGTTATTTAAAAAGATAAATTGTTTCAATTTTGTTGTAATGTACATTTACCTCTATTTTTTGCAAAACTAACAATTGACACAAATTGCAGTATAATTATTTTCTGAAATTACGCACATAAAATTTAATAATAAATAAATTAAGTTTAATCTAATTTAATGATCAGAGACAGCACAACTTTTTCACAAATTTTGTAATAATTATTTCGTCAAACACAATCTGGTCAAAAATGGGGGAATACTTTTTTTAGTAACTAGTGATGGAAGTACTTTAGTTGTAAAATCAAAAAGTTTGTGTTTCATTTCTGGTTAATTACGGATTTTTGAAAAATTAAGGAATAAACAAACAAGTGCTGTTTGGTTTGGGTTGTCAAAAATTGTGCGTAAATTTAATAAATCAAAATTTTTATTATATGAACATTCTTTGTTTGACTTTTTTGCAATGAGTTTTTAATTAAATATCTGCTATTTATCAGAAAATTATAAAGTGGACCTTATCTTTATTATTAAGGTTATTATTTATCGCCGATTAAAGACTACCTACTGGAAGCATAAAACTAGCTTTATGTAATATTTAAAAAGCGTTTACGATCATTGTCAAAAAACTTGAGAGTATAAAATGAAAAAGGACAGAAAAGGACGTCTCATATGTCTAACAATAATAATGTATAAGCAGGATTAGAGTAAGAAGACGTATTAGAAAAAGAAGATATTGTGGAGATAGTTGAGTTTGGATACCCCATATTAAGGGAAGAAATTTTAAAGCATGCATATCAAGACGTTACAGATCGTTTGTTTGAGATAATTAATCGTGTATACAAAACGGGGAAGATTACAAGCGTGACGTGCTAGCAATCATACCAAAAACGAGAGACGCGGATAGATACGACAGTTTTAGGGCAGCTTATTAACTTACTTGCATAAGTCAAAAATCTCAACAAATAATTGTATTGGGGAGGATGGATATCACTAATTGAATCTTTGCAAAATTTTGAGAGATATTTCATATTTCTAATGTCACAATTTGATCAATTGAAAGCAGAAATAATTTCTCATTTGATCTACCTATATCCTTACCAATAAAGTCACAAAACAGAAATGGCAAGATGTTTGAATAAAGCTATCTGGACCTTCCCCGATTTAAACGAAAATTGTACCTATTCAATTTACCATCTTCACTAACCCAATAGTAAGGATGGTTTTAAGTAGGTTTCATAGGATGTAGTAGAGTGTATTAGAAGCTTTTGGTTTTAACCATTCCGATATGAAATAAAATTTACTTTCAATATCATTATTAAGGCTCCCAACATTATCACCTGACCGAAGATTGCACCTCCATTTCTTATCATAAGCTAATCCTTACATTTTACATTTGCCGAAAAGTAGAAGATATTACTAGATCCCTAACTATAAATTTGTCATCATCATCATCATAAGGTCATCAGTCCTAAGACTGGTTGGACACGTACCTCCACTCTTTCCTATCCTGAGCTAAACTTCGCATTTCCTTTAAACTAGAATAACTCACATTCTTAACTATTTGCCAACAGTAATCTAATCTAGGTCTACCTCTATCCCTCCTAACTCCCGTTTCTGCCTCTAATATGTCTCTGACTAGACCTTCATGCCTGAGAAGGTGTCCTACCAACCTTTTTCGAATTTCTAAATCAACCGTTCGCGAGCATAGAAGTGACTTCTTTTTACGAGGGTGGATTGATAAGTTTCCGGCCTGACCAAGAAAAACAAGGTTTTTAAAAATTTTTTTTTTTTATTTCTCGACATAATCTCCTCCAAGGCTGATACATTTCTCATAGCGGTGTTCCAGTCTATTAATGCCATCTCTATAGACTGATTCGTCAAGCTCCTCAAAATAACCATTTACAGCTTCGATTACTTCTTCATTGTCCGCAAATCTCT